TTCAGCAAACATCCAATAATTTTAATTAATATTTACACCTAACCTCACTCCATTATGTTTACCATACAGTCAAATTTGCAGGAGATCAAGAACATACGTTTTGATTAGTTCTTTTTTTAAATATGCTTATTAGTTGTTTGAATTAGTATTAATGCATTTAATTTTCTCTATCTGATTTTTAACAAATCAAAATCGAGTCTATAAGAAAAGAAAAGAAACAGAAAACGAGAGAGATATTGGATAAGGAAAGATTAAAGAAGAAGATATTAATTTAATTATAGCAGTACTAATTTTGGCTATGTGCCTTGATTTTGTCATATATCACAAGGACATTAGTACTAGTTTTCACTGTGACTTGATTTGTTATATTATTATAATTTATTGTGGGAAGGTTTGTTTGTGTATATGCTTATACTATATTACAATTCTCATTAAACTATTTGTATTACTTAATTTTCTCATTTCTACTTTCCAAACAGGGATGAAATGAACGTCCTGGAAAGAATGTTAAATGAACGGGTTAAATTGAAATTAAAAAATTTAAAATAAATAAAATTGATATTCAATATTTTAATGCTCAAGTTGTTAGTTATTCACTACCGGCCTCAGCATTGTGTTGCGAAATGTGAATACCCATCTTGTTCAAATTCAAAATTTTCCTTACACTTTTTAGTTTTAATAACGCGTTAATATTGATGATTTTTCAATTGATCTCACCATCACCCCCACCACACACACATTTTTCTTAAGAATATGCTGCTTTTTCGTATGTTAAAAATATTTTTCTGAAGACTTTATAGATTAATAATTCTAAATTATTATTTTTTACTTTTAAAATAAAAACTGTTTTTATCAAATGACAATATATAAGTGTATTCTTAAACTTGGCTCTAGTTGTTATTTATGTTCATCAATTTTGGATGGACACAAATAGTTTTTATGTGGTGTCTTGTATGTATTACGTCATGTAAGATATTTGTGTCTGTTTATTTGATTTTATATTAGTTTAAGTGACTACGTGTACACACCAGAAATTGAAGAACATAAATGCAAATTGAGATCAAGTTAAAATACACGTTAATATAAAATAATAATAATCAAATACTCACTATTTTCATGATCAAACACTCCTTGAACGTGTGTGGTCATGAATACAAATTGAAGTTGCTTTTGATTTTTTATAAATAATTTGGAGTGAATATTTTTTGATATTTTTCAAATTTTAAAAAATATAAAAAATTTAATGTCAATTTTTCTATGATTATAAAGTATTTATTATTTTTCTTTCTTAGAACGAGATTTTTGTAAGTTAAACTATTTTAAAATATCTATAAACAATGGCGTAGACAGAAAATTTATAAAGGATGTTCAAAGTAAAGCCAAAGTAGAGAGGAAAAAAATGTAACCATGGGGTTCTTGAACGTTGGTGCCAAACACACTTTTGCACACTATTGCCACTAATTAAATATGAGTGACGGATTGGATTGTAGCATCACGAATGGGTATTAAAAATACAAAATGTTATGCTGAAATTTGAACTTGGGTATTGTGTATGAATTGAGCGCACTTTCATCATTAAGCTACGATTCATTAGTATTTTTTAGGGTGTTCAAAATGTTTAATATATTAATATAAAGTAAGATTTGGTTATATATATAATAAAATTTTCCGACAAAGAGTATTCAATAACGATAGATTCACCCTTATTTATAAAAAAAATACTATTATTATTTTCGAACTAGCTAAAAAAAATTCAACAAAAAATGTAATAGATGGAGTAAACAATTCCTTATGGTAATCTTTTCTACTCACTTTTTGATTCATGATCTTAAAGCTAATCATAGATATTTCTATGATTATAAATTATTTTCTTAAAAAAAGAAAATTTTAGAACAAGATTTTTACAAGTTATATTATTTCAAAATATTTATAAAAAAAGGGGATAATTTTAGAGATCTCCCTTCAAGTTTCGCTTTACAATACACTCATTTTTTCGGTGGTTTACAATATTACATCTATCTTTCTTATTTCCATTTGTTTGTAATCATTGTTTAAATCTATTTAAAATAAATATAAATTAATTTAAATTTGATAATTTTATCCTTCTTCATATTAATTTCTTCATATTAATAAATATTATATAAAAAACAATCTTTTTAACAAATATTTTAAATATAAATCAACACAAATACGTATTTTTTTATTCAACAAAGATCAAAATCTTCATTCAAGCTGACCCGTCATTTTCACCAAATATTAACTCTTCATCCCCATTTTACCTTTACCAATTCACATAGATTTTTTTCCCACAATAACCATCATTTTCCGGTAACAATTTCTTCAAATAGAAGATAAAAATGAACTCCCCAAGAGAGAAATTTGATAAGAACGATCAGATTTTATTCTAGTTAAATATTTCCACGAGTGAAGAAGAAACATGCATGATCCAACGAACAAAGTTAAATCATTGAAAAATAGATCTAAACTTTCATACATAAGGGTAAATTGTCAAATCTAAATTAATTTATAGTATTTTTTAAATAGGTTTAAAGAATGGTTACAAAAAAATGAAAATAAAGGAGGTACAGTAACATCGTAAACCACTAGTAGTGTCAATTTCAGCCCATATAAGTGAAATAAAACCATTTTACCCATATTAAATTAAATGGATCACTCATATTTTCTTTAATTTTCTTAAATGGATTAATATGGTCTTCAACTTATTTAAGTTCATACAAATATGGACAAAAAGGGTTAACATAAGAATCTATATTCAGCCCATATAAGTGAGAAATGAAATAGATTTTTTTCGGAAAACAAAGAAATTTACGAGTTGGTTGGTGGAAAGAGGAGGCCGCGGGGGTGGGGGTGGGGGTGTGCTCGCTGGTGGAGGGGGTAATTTTTTTTTTAAAAAAAAAAACAACAAAAAAATTTTAGAGGTAAGTTGGTGGAAGGTGGGGGAGGGGAGTGCGTGAGGGGGTATTTTTTTTTTTGGAAAAACGTTTTTTTTCTTATTTTTGAAATCAAAAAATTTTAGGGGTAGGTTGGCGGAGGGGGAAGGTGTCGGGGTGGGGGTAATTTTTTTGTTTAATAAAACAGAGTTTTTTTATTTTTCGAAAACGAAAAAATATTAGGAATAGGTCGGTGGAAGATGGGGGGGTTGGGTGCCTGTAGCGGGGTAGGGAGGTAAATTTTTTATTTTTGAAAAACTTTTAGGGGTAGGTTGGTAGAGGGGCACGCGGGGCTCACCGGCTTGATTCCCTCACTTCCTTGAAGTCGGTCGCTAATCGGTTGTAGGGAATTTTTTTTATTTAAATAGGTTAGAACCACTTTACCCAAACTATATTTGCCTATATTATACTTTAGATGAATTGTAATCCAAATCATTTTTTGTCAATTCATATTCAACCCATCCAAATCTAATTTAATCCAACCATTTGTCACCCTTATAAACCATCAGGGAAATGGGAAATGAATGTTATAAAGAGAAACTTAGAGGAGATTTCTAAAATTATCACTAATGAAAGAGAAAAATATAAAATTATCTCATTAAAGTAAAACCTAATATTGCTTAAACTTTATAAGGGTTCTGGTAGCTCCACTAAATAATTTTAAAGTGATATAAATATTTCTATCTTTGGAATAATCCACTAACAAAAAAGGTGTATTCACTCACCAATAGTTGCTTGCCACCTGTCAATTTTTTATATAGTTTTCTTTTCTTTGTCTTTCTTTATGATTTTTTTAAAATTTTGTTTCCTTCTTCTTTCAATTGTGCTTAAGTCTTAACCCATCCGTTTATCTTCGTTCTATGAAGTGGCCGCCATTGCTTAAACACCATTACGACACTAAATCAATATTGAAAAAGAAGTCTTCTTTATTGAAAAATCAAATGCCCTTTCAAAATTAACTTATTTCCAATTTAAATTTCTATCAAAGTCTTCTTTTTATGTATTTTGCCTTTGATTTTTGCTCTAAATCAACCAGGGTTGTATTTGAAAAAAAACAAAATCCTCTCTCCGGATGCATATGAAATTATTTTGCTTGGTCTTGCGAAGTTGCCGTTGGAGCTTCTCACCCCCGTTATCAATGAGATTTTTTTGTTAGTGACAATACTAAAAAGACATTATGTACTGAGATTGTGTTATTCAGTTACAATCAGATCGCTCTGTTGAAATCCAATCTAAATGAAAAACGAAACGACAAAAAAGACTTGAGGCTCTCCTTCAATGGTGAAACTGGGAAGAAGAAGAAAGAAAAAGAAGATTAACATTAAAATAAAAAATTATTTATATAGTTAATAAAAAAATTACAAAAGTAAAATTTAATCTTACTTTTTTAGGTTTTCAAGTTCTGTAGGCGAGTGATATACACACTCTCTATAAAATATCAAAAAATGATTCAATAATTTTATATTTATCTAACTAAACCGTGTATTAGAATTCCACAAAATTTAAAAACAAATCTTATTTTAGTGAACTAAAAAAAATTGCATAGTAAATTGAAATAAATAAAGTAAAACATTCGAAATTACCTACTCACACATGAATATTTATTGAAGACAGCGTCTGATTAAAGACAAATATGTCCAAAATTAAAGAAAAATATTCTTATAAAAGCCATGTTGGGATATTTGTGAGGACCACTTATTTTGTTTTATATATTTTTTTATTATATATATAGTAAAGAATGGAGACTGGCAGTTGACTTTGCTGAAGAAAAGTCTCTTCCAATGGATTGTCAATTTCTCCACAACAAGTGCTTTGTCTAATACATTACACCAACTTTGAGAAAAACAAGATCCAGGTAATTAAATTTTATTTTTACATTTACTATATGATATTTATTATCTTCTTATACGAGCCAATTAATAGAATGTGTACTCACTAGTTTGTTTTATGATTTTGAGCAATTCCTGTATTTGAAATCCATAAACTTGCTTTCTGTATAAGTTTGCATTCTTGAATCTAGTTAAAAGTGAAAAGAAGAGCAACAACAAGAACCGAAAAACTTGATGAAATTAATTAACACAAACTAACTATAAAGGACACCCTTCAAGGGTGTGTACCCTGATACAAGGCTGATTTTAGTACTGCTCTAACCCATAATCTACGGGTCAGCTGATTTACCCATAAGCTATGGGTCACATCGAGATAACTTTAGTGTTGCTCCAACTGTATCTAACCGTCTATAGAGAACAGAGGAAACTATCTACTAAAAATTGAAGCGACTGCAACAAGTATTAGCTCTATGCTTCGTTGGTTTAACACGACGTGTGATATTTGTTATCCAGCCCTGCAAAAGAACAACAGCTACAACTTGAATCCAAAATTTTAGGGAAGAACTGTAACTGTAATTAGGCAGTATGGATAAATTTTTTGAATTACCTTTCCGCTAGTGGATCTCGAATAATCCAAGGAAGCAAGAGTTGGATTTGGTGTACTTCTTTGTCCACAGTAACAGCAATTGATCCTGATAAACCAATACTGTAACCAGTTTCTAGCTAGGTAAAGACCTCCACAATCACAATATTTGTCTATCTTTATGTATTGTGATGCCCATTTTACTATCACATCAACCAACCATGTAGCAGCTCCAATTAAAATGGATTCAACCCATTGCTTCCAATTCAGTCGTGCCGTGTTGGTAAAGACAAAGACAGCCTCTACTTCAATGAATCCAAACTGCAACACAAGATAGAGCACAGACAATGCCCAGAACAAGTAATTTTGACCAAAACCTTTGAAAAAATTCTTCTGCTCCAAATCCCTTGCACTGAAAATGTTAAAAAGCTGGCACAGAGCGAACCCGTTAAAGACTATAGATCTGTTAACTTTTGGAGTGATGCCCAGTATTGCACTTCCTTTGAGTTGAAGGAATACAAAAATGCCAGTCTGATAAGAAGCTTGAAAAAGTATGTTTCTCCACATAGCTTTGGTAATTGGCGGTTTTCTTGGTCTGATAGAAAGCTCATCCCTTAGTAGAGTAATTAGCAAAGCTGGCCCTCCAATAAATGTAACAAGAAGGTTAACCCATACCAACTGAAATATTGTTAACGGGGCATCTCCGTCTACTATAACCAGTATGAAGTTTATTGATAAGCTACTGATTGCCAAGATTACCTCAACTTGGATGAACTGCCTCAGATTCTCACAAACAATTCTTCCTCCCTTGATGCTGTTAATCACATAAGTTATAGTTTCAGGCCAGTTAGTCACCACAGGCAGGCCAAAATGAGCTGCTTCAAGAACCATATTACTTTCAGATGCTTGTTCTCCTACCACAGCCACCACTTCTCCTCTTTTCTTCAACTGCTCTATTAAAAGAAGCTTGTGTGCAGGAGAGGAGTTCCCCATAATGCAAACCTTATCAACATTTTCCTTTGTAGCATCTTCGCCCTTAAGTACTAGAGCATCATGTGAGTTGAGCAATCCTGTTTCATCACCAATGGTACGAAGCACTTCAACATCTTCTTCCGAGGTAAATATCATCTTCACTCCGCCTTCTTTTAGAATCTCAATTCCTTGTCTCATGTTGTCTAGATTGAAATTATCTTCTAAGATAAACATACCGATGAATGTTAGGCCATTTTCATCAAATTCAACAATCTGAGTATGTTTGCAGGCAAATGCAACTACGTTCACATTGTTGTTGTTAGCTTGAGCAAACTCACTCTTTGTTTCGTCATCCAAATCCTTCACTTCACCCTGCATGTCATAGTAACTTGAACACATTGACAATATTGAATCAGCCTGTCCTTTGAAGTGTGAATAGTACTCCTTCCCATTATCTCCATTTTTCTCTATGACAACTCCACAAGGTCCTTCAAAAGGATTCTTCTCACTATCATTGTCCTTCACAATGATGACCTGCTGATGCAAAATGTCTCTCTGCATACCCATGTTCTTTTCTGCCCAGCAAAGTATTGGTTCTTCCATTCTTTGGTTGGTTGTTTGAGAAGTCATAGTGGAGACGCCAATCCCATCAGAGAGAACACTGCAGACATGTGGCGGTATCCTGGTAACATCTTTTCTGTCGAGAAGAAACTTAGTAACTTTCAATTTTTGCTCTTTCGACCAGCCAACATTTTCTATACAGAAGGTGCTGACTGATTCCATGTTAACATCAAAATTCGGATACCAATATGCCATCACAACTGAAATAAGAAATGGTAATCCTTCAGTCATCCCTACCAGTGCGAGACCAAGTGAAGTTATCAGAACTCTTACTGTTCCCTTTGATTCTGTTAAAACCTTTTTCAAGGCATTCATTATCTGTGCAATTTCAGCTGGTTCTTCCTTGGTTTCTAATCTGTATCCATTCTCATCATCTTTATGGCCCAATTTAAAGCGAATAAACAGCACCACAGTGATCAAAATGCCAATCAACAACCCACTGATATGTATGTAATTGTTCAACTTGTCAAAGTAGGCACAAAAACTGGAGTCGTTTTCAGAAATCAATGGGGGTAAATTCATCCTTGCTTTTTGATCTTTTTGCTTCTTCCAAAGATATCTTTTGTACCAAATTCTTGCAAACCTAAACAAAACAATCACAAATATAATCACAACCAAAAGTGCTCCTTCAAACCAACCATTCTGCACACCTTCTTCTTTGATTCCAAAGACAAATGACAATATTGCAGCAATTGCAAGTAGAAAAATAGTTGATTCCTTGAATACCAAATGTTGGATCATGAATTTGCCATACCCTGCGAAGATCAACATGTGATGATACAAGTCGCAGCTAGAAATTTCTCCAACTTGAATTCCCTTTTCAACAGTACTCCCCTTGACTCCTTCAAAATTGTGAAGTGATTCCAACTTCACATTCTCTTCACTAATTTGTAGGCATTGTTGATGAGTACTTAGATCATGAGGCTGAAGCTCAATCTCATTGTTTGATTGTACAGTATAAACATCAGCCACAGTTTCAACCATCTGGAATTCATCTCCACCACCTTCCGCGTCCTAATTAGACAGAGAGCATATATAATTAATATCATCAATATATAACTTTAAACTATATGCATATATATATGTTTTATATATACATACTCCATGTTTAAGATTGAAGCTGGGAAGAGGAGTATAAAAGGTTGTGGTGGAGGATGATGAGACTCGTGAAAGAGATGCTATTCTTGCTCCAGCTTCAATGAACTTGTAAGTAGATTTGAAAATGAGCGCCGACTTCCTCATGATCAAACTAGATTTACCCAATTCTCCATTCATCAACAGCGGGGAACTTCGCTGAGCTTCAATGTCTGATCCATTATCTTCATGATCCAGCTCCATCATCTTCGCCTTTGATCAGTACATTTTTCTTCTTCTTCTGTATTTATTATAAAATACTAGGAAAGATCACTATGATCTGACACTTAAAAGATTCAGATAGAATAAGATATGATGGTAAGGAACTGATTTTTTTGTATACATATTTATAGGGAAAGAAAAAGGTTGCCATGAAGCTACCTAGAAAGCTCCTAGTCTGCCAAGTTTTTAGTTTTATATAACGCGGTATTGCTGATTTTTCAATTCACCCCTCCTCCCCCTACAAGATGCTGTGTTTACTATATTTAAAAATGTTTTTCCAAAGACTGATATTTGAAGATGATTTTTATGGATAAATGTATTTGCGGTGCAACCGTAGAAAAAACAATTAAACAGAAAACATGGGTCAAAAATTCCATACGTGAAATTTAGTTTCTTACCGACAAAACTAAAAGGATAATTTACTTTGATCCTTCAATTAATTGAATTCTAAGTTTGCTCATAGTACATACAACCACCATCACCACACACACATATGTATATGTATATATATATGAGTGTGTGTGTGGTCACACATTAGAGTTGAAAAATTGGGGTGAAGTTACAACTTCAAATTTGAACTGTTCTACCTTCAAAACTATATATGAATTGTTCTCCAATGCATTTCAGGAAAAATAATTTTTGTTCAAATATATTTTCTTGTTCTGTCTTGTAGATGTTATTTGTGATAATTACTGCTATAAATTGCTCTTGCAAGTCATCATTTCTACCAAGTTAGCGGATGCAAGTAAAATAAAGAAAGATTCATTTGTTTTGCTCGTATTATGTTTTATTGTTTAATTAACCAATTAATTGTGATTGAATTTTATTATTTTCTATGCCAAGAATATAAAAATTACAGAGGTTTAAAATGTTACAGTTTGACAATCATTTTTTGGAAACCTGTGTACAAGGAGGAGAAAAAAAGAAGTAGAAGCAGCAAAGGAGCAAATATACGTTTATTTGAAGTTTGTCAATACCAATTACTAATTATTACTTAAATTGTAAAATCAAAACTGATTACAAGTTCTCAACTCATTTTATAGCTGTAGTATGAATGACGAGTTAAGTAGGTAGTCGAGGCCTTTTAATTTGTCTCTGTAGTTTTCTTGAGTTAAAAGGGTGCATTTTATTAAATGTAGAATAAAATTTTGTACTTTTTTTTTTAATATCTAAAATAGAAAAAATTCAAATTATAGAATCTCAACTATCTTGTTGTATGACGTACTTTATAAAGTTATGTCCAAATAGTAAGTCATTTCATAGTTATATGACGTACGTTATAAAATTATGTCGAAATAGTAAGTCATTTGTGAAAGATGTTATTGAATGTTATGATTTTGCCACTTAGGTGCCTAAACGTTTCAAAATTTTTATGTGACCATTTCCTTTTAGAAACTTATTGTTTGGGAAGAAGTTAGAAAAATAGGCTTTTTAAAGCCAATTTGATAAAAATTTTGGGGAAAAAATTCAAAGCACATATAAATTTTGACTGAAATTATTATTACACACGTCAAACTTTACGGGGGTCATAATGAGTTCTGAGGGTATTATAAGATAAGTTGAATGAGCAAACGATCACATTCACAGTTAAGTATGTGCGAGTGGAATTAAAGTAAAATGAACCCATGTTGATTTTTATTATTATTTTCATGTTGGTTTATTGTTACAAAAATAAAGGAGTTCAGTGAGCTCGCTTTTACTTTTTCATCTTGGTTTTCTATTATTATTTTCAAATATCTTTTCTTTTCTCTCTTTTTCTTTTGTGTTTTTTCCTTTTCTATGAGACTTCTTCTTCAATTTAATTTCTTTTAACAAAATTGTATTTTAATTAGGCTAGAAATTTTAATTCAAATATTTTAAATAATTTATGTTAATTAATGTTAAATATTCATGGGTTGGAAAACTAGATAAAAGTAACTAATTGTGTTAACTAATTAGTGATCAAAAGGCTATTAAATTAAAGAAAATAAATTGGGGATAAAAAACAAAGGTGTTTTAATCAAGAAAAAATTATATATAATAACAAACTAATAAATGAAAATTAATTGCTTTAATCACCTTTGATTTAATAGTGTTGCGTAGCAAACTGTTTGTCAGTCACCTCACTCCCTCAAACTCTCACTTGCCACTATCGTCTCTCGCTCGTTTTTTCTCACTTTTATACCAACATAAGTGTATAAAAATTGTTTCTATTTATATAAAGCAGGAGAAATTATATAAATACATATATTTTGGTTCCCTTCTTTGAAATCTCGCTCGCCACTCTCCCTAATCTCTCTCTTCACCCTCGCCTCTTTCATTTATACAAATAGAAGCGAAATATATAAATTGCGTTTTTGTTTGTATAAAGCGAAAGAAAATTGTATATACACATGCAAATACATATATTTTCATCATATACATTTATAAGTATACAATTAAAATACTCCCTGCCCAGTTTCTTTTGTCTTTCTCTCTTTCTTGTATAATACAAATTCAAATTGTATATAATTTCTCTCTTTTTCGTTTTATACAATTCGGTTCAATTGTATATTCTCTGTCCAAGTCTCTTTTGTCTTTCTCTCTTTCTTATTTTATACAAATTTAAATAGTATATAATCATTCTATACACTTATGATTATACAATTCATTTTATATACTTTATTTTTATACAATTCTCCGCCCAAGTCTCTTTCTCTTTCTCGTTTTATATAATTCGTTTTAATTGTGTATATATATAACGAATTATATATTTATATGTTTGATATTGAATGCATTTATGCAAATATTGCTATAACATACAAATATAAATTTTACATTTGCTATATGTGAAAGTTGTCAATTAATTAGCTTAAACCTTAAGCGGACACACTTTCGGTTAAAAGCGAGCGTACAAATTATGCAACCGGCTCTGTTTATATATATACAGCCATTCCATTTCACTTGCCAGTTATTTACACGTCGGAGAAAAATAAATATTCCGGCGCTTCTTTGATGCAATGTGTTTTCTGTGTTTATGTTTCTTGATTACTTACAAATTTATGTGGTCTCTCCAATGAATTTGTTCTGACAACCCACTTTTCAATTGAAAAACAGGATAATGTTGGTTGTTTCTTTGTTCGTTTAGATTTAAACTAAAATATTATTTTTTAAGTATACGTCATTGGACCTTGACTGCTACTATTTAAACAGAGTTGTGTTAAACAATAAAAATTACGATTAACAGCGCTACTTTACTCTAATTAAATAGTACTTTACACTGTGGCAAATAAAAATGGCTAGATAATTTTACAATCTTGCAAGTATCTCGCATCAGATTATTCCTCTCTTCAACCCCTTTTCTGTAGATTAATTAATATCAAAGACTAAATTTCATCATCAAAGCTTTTCAGGATCTGATCTGAAAATTTTGATCCGTTCATTTTCATGATCTGGATCTGAGACCTCACTTCATCGTTGTGTTCTTAGTTGAAATTGGTCTAGGTTAGTTAAATTAGGGTGGATCAATGGAGTGGGCGACTCTACAGCATTTAGATCTCCGCCATGTTGGTCGGAGTTCGAAGTCGTTACAGCCTCACGCCGCCGCATTTCATCCCACTCAAGCGCTTCTCGCTGTTGCCGTGGGAAGCCAAATAATTGGTAAATCCTTCTCATTTTCAGCTTTGAATTTTAATATGCTTTATGTTCTGTTAATTAACTCTGTGATGATGCTGAGTATATTTTAAATGGGCAGAATTTGATGCATATACCGGAAGCAAGATTGCTTCCATAGACATTGGTTCCCCTGTTGTTCGAATGGCTTATAGTCCAACAAGTGGACATTGTGTAATTGCTATTCTTGAGGTTAGTTCATTTAATATCTTCAAATATTTCAATAGTTTTAGTTAAAACCTGCAAGTGATAACACTTGTTACATTCGAAACTAGTGGAGTTGCGATGAACTTAAGTGTGGTGGCATTGGCTCATGTACTAACTTTGAATCCCCAAAAATATTAACCGAACATTTTCATCTTTCCAAGATGGGAATAGTTTAATGGGTTTTCAGTTCTAACTTGTTGAGGAACCATGAGAAAATGCTTTAAATGGTGATACACTGGCAACCTTTTAGTGCTTAAGTTTTATCAGTAATTTGTTTGCCTAGGAAGGGTCATCATTAAATCCAACAACACAAAAGACTTCCATTTGCACTGAGCAATTGATTACCTTTAGTTTTCTTCGTTTGAGACGAGGGTTGGGTGCTGGCATATAGCATTCGAATGAAAATATCAGATATTATTCATTTAGCTCTTCTTTTCTTGAGCTTACAAAAAAAGCTCTTTTCTTTTTTTTGCATTGGCTCCGATAAGTTGTGAAAGTTTATTCTAAAGGATGTTTGTTATACATAGAAGGATATCTTATTGGCTACAGTTAAAATGGCAACTTGGAGAGGTGACAACTTTCAGACATCCCTGTTTTCCTTGCATCAACCAACCAACAGAAAACTGTATGTACTATAGATTCGTATGGCATAGTAAGAAACTACAAAAGACATGCTACTAGAAGAATCATAAGGAAAAAAATTTATTAGAGAAGGATAAGTGAACTGAGGCGTGATATAACAACTGTCTTCAAATATTTGCAATTTTAAACCAAAAAAAGAAAGAAGAAAAGACTGTCTTCACTCTTCAGCACATTGAATCTCTATGTTATTCAGTGTTTATCTCTATGTTTTTAAAGTATTTTGTGATAAGTTCCTTTTGTTATTTATTATATCCTGGAAGATCATGTCTTTGAATTTCAACTGTGTAATCTTCTGTTATTGTTCTTTAAAATCTTTTTTTGTTTCATTTAATCATATAATATAGTAACAACGGACCAACTTATTACCCTTTTGGCCATTGTCATAAGCAGACAGTGTTCTTCACATCGCTCATGATACTCTAGGTTCCTTCTCTCTTTGCAGTTAGATACCTTGAAATCAAGGATAAAGCTTCTCAGATTATTCGTAATAGACTTTTTTCCCCTTATAAAACAAACTTGCTAGAATTTTTTTCATAAGTACGATCATATGTAATTATTCTTTATTTTCTCTTCTTTTTGTTGTTTGTTTCTTTTGTATAAGACAACAAAGAAGGAAGCAAGGATGCATTTTTATTATCCTCTTTTCCCTTAGGAGTTCATATATTCCCATAAGATTTCTAAAACCCCTAGATAAAGCTAGTATGCATTTTTATTATCCTCTTTTGTCTGTGATATACATTTTTGCTAGTAAAGATTGATTGTTTCAGGGTGAATTTTAATTGTTTCTTACTGTAGAATTTAAAGCTCCAATGATGTCACTCGTTCTTCGTAGCTTAAGTGAGATATTTGAACTCGGATATTGATGTCATCAGTACTCGTTATGCTATTATCTTGCATTTAGGAAAATTGTACTCATTTTGCTTACTGCTTTTTGTAGGATTGTACAATGCGTTCGTGTGATTTTGATGCAGAGCAAACATGTGTTTTACATTCACCTGAGAAAAGGACCGAACGCATTTCTTCTGATACTGAAGTTCACCTTGCATTGACTCCTCTTCAACCTGTTGTATTTTTTGGTTTCCATCGTAGGATGAGTGTTACAGGTTGGAGCTCATGCCTGTACACACATCTATTTCATATTTAAGCAGTTTTTTTTTGTTGCATTGTTTGAGTTAAAAAGTAAATTCTAGCTGATGCTCCTAGTATATGTGTCCTTGGTTAGAAATTTACTCATTATATAAAAGCACCATTGCTATTAGTTTAATTATAGATATT